GGATTCGAACCCGCGACCCTCAGATTGTGAGTCGAGCGCCTTATCCACCTGGCCATGCCGGGCAGCATGTTAGAAGAAAATAAAATCCGCTCAAAACGGCCAGTTTGTAATTCTTCTTCTTCTTCTTATCTCTTGCCAGTCTATAACAAAAATGGCTTGGTACCCAAATCTGTTCGTAAGGGTATTGAAAAGTCTATTTGTTTCTTCTACATTTTACATAAGTTAAAAAACACCATAATTCTCGTGTAAATGATGTTACCATTACCCCTTGAAGTAAGCTTTCTTACTAACATCTGGTGTTAAGTACAGGGTAAAACAGGAATTACCAGTAAATAATAGATGAAGGTTAGATGACTATAACATGTAGAACTCAATGCTTTGTACACTATACAATCGATGTTTTTAGGGAGCCAACCCCTATATTATGTATGAAGTGAAGGAGTAAAAAAAAAATCAATACACATGATATTAAATTTTATTACACACACTCGTAGAATAATTACACAAAGGTTTATTGAAAGTGATGTTTTAGACGTATATATTTTATTTGAAAAGGCTGCTTTTCTACTGGTAAAATTTTATATGCGCTTAATTGGGGTTGTGGCCTAGTTCAGGAATATATTTTCCCATTGCTGTGCATTATATATAGATTATTTAGTTACACAGGACCTATAAATGCTCACTATATTCCCAAATAAATCTCCATGACAGTCTCCAGTTACAGATTAACATTTTGCATCTCGAGCTAATGCGATGAAATAGTCAATTGCTACAGTAAATCATCATGAACCGTATCAGTTAGCTATTTTTATTATCATTATAGTGTATAAAGTTAGCTACCATATCAAGTAATCCTTTGTCCGTAGTTGAGGATAAAAAAGTTGGCAAATAAGATAAATAATAAATTGGGAATTTAAAAACCTGAAGATAGGGATCGTAAAAAATGAACGGAAACAAGGCTATGTGAGATAGATAATTCTATTTGTTTATTATTATGGTTGTGTTTATTGTTTATTTATTATCTCCTTCTATCGTTTACTTTATATATGAATTTTTAGTTGCATTAAAACGCTAACTTACATTCATTTGTATTTTGAGTAAATATGTGTATATGGCGAAACTGACATCAGCGATGATGTACAGATACTATTAATATAGTAGAAGAATATGTAAATTTATGATCACATGAGGTTGTACTCTCGTGACCAACTCCGTGAATAAATACCCTGCCAGAGTTTCACTAAGAGAGAGAGTTATTGCTGTTTATCACTCGTTATTGATATTAAAAGGTATTTTTGGAATATTGTATTTGCTGAATATATTTTTTGGAATTAGTTTTTTCTGATTTCATAATTTAGATAATATTGGTATATTAATATTTATGATATATTGTTTATTAATATTGGCGTGATGTCCTGGCCAGGCACTTGTTTATTAACTGTGTTTTGGTAAGTGTTAAATATATTTCTAAGTGTTGTTATTGTGAATACATTTTGTTGTTGTTGCTAAACCCTGATTGTATCGGCGTGTTCATTTTAGACTGTTACAAGTAACAAACAAAAAAAAAAAAAAAAAATGGGAACTTAAAACCCGCAAATAGGGATCGTAAAAAAAGGTAAGGAAACAAGGCTGGAGATACTGTAGACATTATTTACTCAAACTACAATTCCCTGTTTTAACTCCACCAAATGTAATTCTAGATAACAGCATGGAGCCAAAATAGGGTTTGAGTAAATATTGTCTACAGTATCTCCAGCCTTGTTTCCTTACCTTTTTTTTTACGATCCCTATTTGCAGATTTTAAATTCCAATTTTTAAATTTATCTTTTGTGTGTGTGTGTGTAGGTATGTATCTACGGTATATTAACGTGTATATCTTCTCGACATTTATCTTTGCTTGTTATAGTGCACTTATATTTAATATTGTTTTTGTACGTATTTTGTAATATAAAAATAATTTATGTTTGATATGAGGAACATCAAGATACGAACATCATACAACTGCCATACGTTTTATTCGGACTTACAACGCTAGAAACCGGGTTTCGATACCCGTGGTGGGCAGAGCACAGATAGCCCATTGTGTAGCTTTGTGCTTAACTACAAAAAACATGCGTTTTATTTAAGGGTAATAACCCAATAAGTTTGTTATTTAAAACAGATTACGATTATGAATGCATAAAATAAACTAAAGATAAATGTTGGCTGATCTAAGTGTAATATGTTGAAATAAAGCTTGATCCAAGTGTAATATGTTGAAATAAAGCTTGATCCAAGTGTAATATTTCGAAATAAAGCTTGATCCAAGTGTAATATTTCGAAATAAAGCTTGATCCAAGTGTAATATTTCGAAATAAAGCTTGATCCAAGTGTAATATTTCGAAATAAAGCTTGATCCAAGTGTAATATTTCGCAATAAAGTTTGATCCAAGTGTAATATTTCGAAATAAAGTTTGATCCAAGTGTAATATGTTGAAATAAAGCTTGATCCAAGTGTAATATTTAAAAATAGAAATAACTGATTTGCTATTTATGTAAGAAGGTTATTTACCGCCATTGCTTATATATCACGAAAAACACAGAAATAATAAAAAAAAGGTTTAAGTTTATAAAGTAGAGAAAAATTAACATTTTCCAGGGGAAAATTTGGAACAGTTTACAAATGCAGCGAGAAGGAAACGGGTCGTATCCTGGCGGCGAAATTTATAACCACCACCCGAGCCGATGACAGGAAAGACGTGGAGAGGGAGGTAGACATCATGAGGATTTTACAACATCCTCGGCTTCTTCAACTTTATGATGCTTATGATGATGAAAAGAAACAGATGTGCTTGGTCTTGGAATTGTAAGTTCGAAGATCGCCATGAGTTACTTGATCTAATGAATTAGACTAGTAAAAACTTTGAGAGTTATTCATCAGTATCTAATTATTTTCGTATTTAAATGTTTTAAGAATAATCGGACTTGGTTCTCTAAAGTTACTGAAATTGAGGGTGTCCGTTCCTTATTAAAGTCTGCCATAATATTCGTAATAACATAATATAAATACTTGTTTATTTTGCTGTTAAGCACAAAGCTAGACAATGGAGTATTTCTGATCTGCCCACTACCGGTATCGAAACCGGATTGTTAGCGTTATAAGCTCTCAGGCTTACTTCTGAGCCAAATGATTGGGGCATAATATAATGGAAAAACATTTACTTACGATAAATAACATTTTTGTACCCCCCCCCCCATCCTCGCTGGAGTGGTAAATAAAAATCTAACCGTTATCAATATTTAGGTTTCTGTACCCTAAGTTTGTCATGCAATACTTTCTTAAATATTTTACGTCTTTGCATAGTCGTTTTTTTTGCTGATATTTGAATAACAAGCGTTGATATTGTTTTTAAAGAAATCCCTTTATAGTAATCATGGCACATTACATAAGAATTCATTTAAGAGTCGAAGTAAATAAACTTACTTTTCGATCACTATCGTTTTCAAAGATGAATAAAGTAGAAAAACGTTGTGAGCAATTGGAACTGAAAATGAAACCGTCTCCTATGATCTAAGATATTCTTATACAAGTTTTTCTTTATTTCTTAGAGCAAAACCACATTGGGCTATTCGCTGCGTCCAACTCGGAGAATCGAATCTCGGATTTTAGTGTTGTAAGTCCGGAAACTTACCGCTGTCTTACCGAATGACTCTTCTTATATAAGCACCCGAAACATTTACAATGCTTTCATTGAGCTATACTTTACACACGTTAATTAATCATAAATATTATAAAATACTTGACATTCTATGCTATAGTTACCGTCAGTGGTACTTAATGAAACACTGCTTGAAGACGCGGCAGAATTAAGGGATAATCTCAGAAATGTTTGGTTAAATTAAGAGATAATCTCGGAAACTTTTAGTTAAAACATTACTTCTATTTTGCAAGTCAACGTTACTGAGGAGCTGGCCCTGGTTTTTGAAATTAATTCTAATACACTGAAAAAAAAATTGGTCTCTTGAAATCTTTCACATATTTTTATTAAATTTCCTCGTGGGCCATCAGCACCCCAGTTACTAAATTTTATAGAGACCCACCGATGCTTATTATTCAAAAATATCTATAGAGACCCACCGATACTCATGCAACTAAATTTTCTCGTGGGCCATCAGCACCACACTTTTATAGTGACCAATGAGTACTCATTTTACTGAAATTTGTAGATATATATAATTGTTCTGTTTGTTGAATTATGTTTTGATTCATGAATGCAGTTTCTGCAAAATTTTGTAGTGACCCACCGATAACCATTTTGCTAAACTTTGTAGTTACTCAACTAGATTCTGTAGTGACACTCCACTACCTTTTTTAAATAAAATTTTACAGTGACACTCCACTACCTTTTTTAAATCAAATTCTACAGTGACACTCCACTACCTTTTTAAATTTCATTCTGCAGTGACACTCCACTACTTTTTTAAATCAAATTCTACAGTGACACTCCACTACCTTTTTTAAATAAAATTTTACAGTGACACTCCACTACCTTTTTTAAATCAAATTCTACAGTGACACTCCACTACCTTTTTTAAATACAATTCTACAGTGACACTCCACTACCTTTTTAAATCAAATTCTACAGTGACACTCCACTACCTTTTTTAAATCAAATTCTGCAGTGACACTCCATTACCTTTTTTAAAATTTCATTCTGCAGTGACACTCCATTACCTTTTTTAAAATTAAATTCTCCAGTGACACTCCACTACCTTTTTAAAAATTTCATTCTGCAGTGACACTCCACTACTTTTTTTAAATTTCATTCTGCAGTGACACTCCACTACCCTTTTTAAAATTAAATTCTGCAGTGACACTCCACTATCTTTTTTAAATTTCATTCTACAGTGACACCCCACTACCTTTTTAAAAATTAAATTCTGCAGTGACACTCCACTACCTTTTTAAATTTCATTCTGCAGTGACACTCCACTACCTTTATTAAATTAAATTCTGCAGTGACACTCCACTACTTTATTTTTATTTTTTACTAAGTTCTGAAGTGACACTCCACTACTTTATTTTTATTTTTTACTAAGTTCTGAAGTGACACTCCACTACTTTATTTTTATTTTTTACTAAGTTCTGAAGTGACACTCCACTACCTTTTTTAAATTAAATTCTGCAGTGACACTCCACTACTTTATTTTTATTTTTTACTAAGTTCTGAAGTGACTCGTCACTGGATTTTATCGTGAGCTACCAATATAAATTATGCTAAATTTTGTAGCCACCCACCAATACATTTTTACCAAATTTTTCATGTGGCCATCGGCATCCTTTCTAAAGAATTTTGTCGTGAGCTACCAGTATAGTTTCTATTAACTTTTTTCATTACCCTCCAATACACTTTTTCACCAAATGATGTTGTGACACGTGGAACAGCGGTAAGTTTACGGACTTACAACGTTAAAATCTTGGTTGCGATTCCCTCTGGTGTAGACAACAAGCAGCTCTAAACCAAACTTTTGTGGTGCATCAATTATCTTTTGACAATAACTGTGACATTTTAATTCAATCCTTACGTAAATATTATTTTTACTTAATATTACATTCTAATAGAACATCAGCTGTAACAGCTACTTACAGCTGTTTCATTTGTTTGTACGTTTCTTCAAATTCAATATGTCCCCCAGTGGCACAGCGGTATGTCTGCCGACGTACAACGCTAGAAACCGGGTTTCGATACCCGTGGTGGGCAGAGCACAGATAGCCCATTGTGTAGCTTTGTGCTTAACTTCAAACAAACAAACAAATTCAATGTAAATAATTTAAAATTGTACTTTCTTTGGAAAATCGTTTTTAATCCAAGAAAAAAATGTGCTATTTTTAAAATAACTTCTGAACAAGACGCCCAAAAAGTGTAAGTAATAGATGATTGTAGAACAGGATTTATAATAGCTTTGAGAACACATAGCATAAAGTTGCTGCCTTTACCATTTTCAAAAACGAGTATGGTATTGGTATTTTCAAATTTGTCTGCCTGACAGAGCGTGACAAGTCTGACCACTGTCTGCCTGGAGAGCGTGACAAGTCTGACCACTGTCTGCCTGGCAGAGCGTCACAAGTCTGACCACTGTCTGCCTGGAGAGCGTGACAAGTCTGACCATTGTCTGCCTGGCAGAGCGTGACAAGTCTGACCACTGTCTACCTGGCAGAGCGTGACAAGTCTGACCACTGTCTACCTGGCAGAGCGTGACAAGTCTGACCACTGTTTGGCAGGCAGAGCGTGACTTAACGCTAATATGGTGGACTTTGAATCCAGGGTTCACGATTCGCGTCTAGTTTCCATAGGAACGTGCTCCGCACTTTAGGGCCGTGGGCGCATTATAAAAATAACTATCAAATTCCACTACTTGATCCGAATACCCAAGAGTTGGTGGTGGATGCTGGTAAATAGCAGTCTTCCTTATAGCTATCGGTTCAAAATTAAGAACGGTTATTCCTTGCGTGGCTTTTCTCGAATATCCGAAACACAAAAACAAAACACTTTCTGTCGTGCGTCAACAGAAGTTAGTTAAAATAGCACTTATTGGTCCGTAGCCAGAACGAACTGAATTGTAAGACTTATCTCGATCTTTTCATTTTTTTTTAGAACATTTAAATAAAATGTTAAAAGACACAAAACGACAAAACCTTGACTGGATTACTTCTTTGCATTGTTAAAACATTAATTTCTGCCCTTTTTAACAGGGCGCAAAAGTATGATGACCGAAGCCTAATGGTTGATAATGACGTTTATTTTTCTATATATTTTTTTCTGCATGATTAGTTACATGAGATATAACACGAGTAATTGGACTATTTTTTAAGGACCTTTTAAGATTAATACACTTGTTGTTATCAGTCAGGAAAAAACAAAAATGCTCGTATCTTATCCAATGACACTACGAAAGCAGCACCAGTATATTTTAATTCAAGAAAGAAGCCCATTGTTACCATTCTTATTAAAAGACCAAATGTTAGGAGAATTTAATGAATTTAGCTCAACATGTTATTTATTTTAAGTTTATAATGTGTTTTATTCTACAAAGAACGTTGAGCTTTTGTCACGAAATTTTGTGTACGATTAGAAAGATATTAATGATTTGATTTTTTTTTCAGTCTTTATAAAATGTTTAAATTAAGTTTTGTTTTAGTTTTATATAGTAAACTATAAAAAAATGAGATAAATTATTATGATTTGATCTGTTCGTTTTATAACTTAAGTTTGTTATATTCATAAATGATTAGAAACATTTTTTTTTTACACAATCTTCCATGAAAGTGTATAACTAATCCCCAGTGGCACAGCGGTATGTCTGCGGACTTACAACGCTAGGAACCGGGTTTCGATATCCGTGGTGAGCAGAACACAGATAACCCCTGGTGTATCTTTGTGCTTAACTTTAAACAAACAAAAGACAATTTTTAGTTTTCTTTTTTATCACTTGACATTTCTTTACAGTTTGTTGTGATCTTTCACAATGATTGTCGGTATGTTTTTCAAATATTCAACCAAGATGAACTTACTAATCCTTCCATCTGTAACCAGAGCAAATGAGGACTTTTAACGGAACAATACAAAACAGAATATATTAACATGCAGGAGAGAAAAAAAAAACAACAACAACAAGAAGCCATCTAGTGATGTAGAATAAGAAAGAAAAAAAAAGAAATATTAGAAACAAAAAAATGCTAAGAGGCAAAATTGGGTTTAAATGATCCAGTACAAATAACTCAGCCCACGAGTTATATTTAAGACAAATTGTATTTGTATGCAATTATGTTTTTCTTACCTATTAAAGTTGGCAAAAAATAATGGATGGTAGACTGTTTAATTTGTAATTTCATACATTTATTCAGTTACCGGATAGATTAGGCAGCTCTTAATGTGAAAAGCTGTTTTCTTAACAACACGAAAGACAGTAGCTACTGGTGTGAAAAGATGTTTCTTAACAACACGAAAGACAGTAGCTACTGGTGCGAAAAGATGTTTCTTAACAACACGAAAGACAGTAGCTACTGGTGTGAAAAGATGTTTCTTAACAACACGAAAGACAGTAGCTACTGGTGTGAAAATATGTTTCTTAACAACACGAAAGACAGTAGCTACTGGTGCGAAAAGATGTTTCTTAACAACACGAAAGACAGTAGCTACTGGTGTGAAAATATGTTTCTTAACAACACGAAAGACAGTAGCTACTGGTGTGAAAAGATGTTTCTTAACAACACGAAAGACAGTAGCTACTGGTGTGAAAAGATGTTTCTTAACAACACGAAAGACAGTAGCTACTGGTGCGAAAAGATATTTCTTAACAACACGAAAGACAGTAGCTACTGGTGTGAAAAGATGTTTCTTAACAACACTGAGCCACAAAGTATCTAGTAATAACGAAGGCCTATTTTTTCGACAACAATGAAAAACAAAGTAGGCATCAATGTGAAGAGACGTTTTCTTAACAACATCGACAAACAAAGTAGCTATTATTTCATTACAAGTTACAGCTTTTACAGTAAGTAACAATTGTATTTATATTTATTTTTACTTACTTTAAAATCTATAACTTGTAACAGAATATTCTTAATCAATAAGTAAACTCAAAACGAAACTATTAAAGGAGCTATTAATGTGAAGGGATATTTCCTTAACAACTTTGGAAAACAAAGTAGCCGTTAGTGTGAAGGGATATTTCCTTAACAACTTTGGAAAACAAAGTAGCCGTTAATGTGAAGGGATATTTCCTTAACAACTTTGGAAAACAAAGTAGCCGTGTTAATGTGAAGGGATATTTCCTTAAAAACTTTGGAAAACAAAGTAGCCGTTAATGTGAAGAGATATTTCCTTAACAATTTTGGAAAACAAAGTAGCCATTAATGGGAAGGGATATTTCCTTAACAACTTTGGAAAACAAAGTAGCCGTTAATGTGAAGGGATATTTCCTTAACAACTTTGGAAAACAAAGTAGCCGTTAATGTGAAGGGATATTTCCTTAACAACTTTGGAAAACAAAGTAGCCGTTAATGTGAAGGGATATTTCCTTAACAACTTTGGAAAACAAAGTAATTAATCGTGTGAAAATATATTTTCTTAGGAGCGCATAAAAACTAAGTAGCTAGCTAAGTAGAAGGGTATTTTCTTAATATTAAATTCCTTTTTTTTCCTGTGTAGAATCGAAGGTGGAGAGCTCTTTGAACGTGTAATTGATGACGATTTTGTCCTGACGGAGAAAGCTTGCTCTATTTTTATGAAACAGATATGCGAAGGAGTGGACTACATGCATTCACAAAACATATTGCATCTCGATATGAAGGTACTGCAAGTATTTGAAACTGAATTTAAAAAAAGCGACTGGAAAAAAAACCGATTTCGCACCACTGTATTTGGTTTTATATTCATTGGAATTCTTTCAAAGATACTATACAAAACAAAAACAAAAAAGGGAATAATTAGGAACCTCTTTCAAACAGCTAAACTGATTTACTATTCTCATCAGGACTTTTCAATAAAGACAAATGTCTTAAAATCAGAACTTGTTTGTTTTTTTTTGAATTTCGCGCAAAGCTACACGAGGACTATCTGCGCTAGCCGTCCCTAATTTAGCAGTGTAAGACTAGAGGGAAGGCAGCTAGTCATCACCACCCACCGCCAACTCTTGGGCTATTCTTTTACCAACGAACAGTGGGATTGATCGTCACATTATAACGCCACCACGGCTGAAAGGGCGAGCATGTTTGGTGTGACGGGGATTCGAACCCGCGAGCCACAGATTGCGAGTAGAGCGCCCCCTAACCGCTAGGCCCAGAATGAATGGAAGGAGTTATTAGAGACGGCTAGCGCAGATAGCCCTCGTGTAGCTTTGCGCGAAATTCAAAACAAACAAACCAAACAATTATGTTATACCATAT